CTCATTACCTACCTAATGTCTGTGATCATAAACCTAAGCTCTATGAGATCAGGGGCTGTAACTGCCGTTACCTGGGAGTTTTATCTGTTGCTAAAGCCTGAAATGGTGCTTGGCCCATGTGACCTGGTCAATTTAGTTGAATGAAAGAACCAAAGGATTAATGTGAAGTGCAGGTAAATACAGGCAAATGAATATTAGAACAAAGGACTTAGAAATTAGGTAAATTTATGTCAGGACTTCTAACCCTGTTTATTTATCTTTGCAAGATGGTGCTTCAGGAGGTTCACGGTATCTTGAAACTAGCATAATGATTTGCACATGGTAATTGCAAGGATATGTTAGTTAACCTAGGGTAATGCCCTATAGGTATCAGTATGTTTCTGTTTTGAGTAGACCCGAAGTTCCCATAGTGGAGAGTGAGCATAGTGCCTGATACATCAAAGTGCACAACAAAACACATTGGTTTATGTCGTTAGTAGCTATGAAGTAAGCTATCTGGCTTATAAACATCAACCATAACTTCCAGCAATATTCCAACAGCCTGGGCTAGCTTCTCAGATTTCTAACTTCTTTATATAAGCACTTAAAACTAATTTACTGTTAATTCATTGCTCAGTCCTAGTGTCACTGTTACACAGACCACAACTCATAATGATGTTTTGTTTCCTTTACCATATACTATGGATTGAATTTGCCCCACAAAAAGCATGTGTTGGAAATTTAATCCCCAATGTAACAGTGTTGGGAGGTGGGGCCTAATGAGATGTTGGAATCTGTAAACAAGTCAAAATAACACCTGGCATTTTGCCAGGGGAATGTTAGAGTTCCTAAACAAGTCTGGATGGTGCCTGGCAAAATGCCAGAGGGAGTGGTTTGAGAAGTAACAAAAGCGAGCCATTAAGTGTGGAGATTCCTGATTGGTTGACTGATGTATCTAGTTTATGTTAATTAGATAAGCTGTGTGGAATGTATAAATACTGCTCCTGTCCTGCAATAAACATCAATGTTCACAAGTTGTTTGTCACCCCCCGGTTATTTTGCTGCAGCCGGACTGCGGCAATGAGAGGTAGTTATTAGTCCATGATTGGATTAACACCGTTATGGTGGCAAGAAATAATGTGGCTGAATTGTGTCCATGCCAAGGTTTTATAGATGGAAAGCAGGCTAGAATATCTGGTGAAAGAAATCAAACTCAAGGCCTCATGTACTACCATGAAGCTATACCTAGTGGAAGAAAATTCAAATCTTGGAAGTGGATTTATGGCTTCTTTTAACTACATACATAAAGTGCATGAGGAAAAAGGTGATTTGAAGATATAATTTTAAAAGAAAACAGAACTTAGAAATTTGAAGAATCCTCAACCTGGCCCCATAACAAATGAGAAAGGAAAGAAACTAAGGGTAGAGGAAGCCATTTGCTAAAAATATTAGTATGAATAGAAGGAAGCCAGATGCTGGCCCTTAAATCTTGGATTTTCCAGTCTCAAGAACTGTGAGCTAATAATTTCTGTTCGTTATAGATCATGTAGTCTCAGATATTCTGTTATTATAGAAAAAAAACTAAGAGATCATATTTCTTTGGAATTAGTACCAATCTTTCCATTTCTATCTTGTATGCAGTTCCTTATAAACCCAGCATAATTTATTTCTACTGTCTCCTCCTGGAGTTGTACCTGGTTTTATTGCCTATTTCCATTGGGAAATAGGACAATTTGGCTTTTGTTTCTTGGCCAGGAATCACTTGATCCTGAAAGTCTTGAGAGAAGACTTGTCAAGGAATGGAGTTAAGCACACACACCACAATGTTGGACAGAAGAAGAAAATTTCTCATCAGAAATTTCTTATCATGTACAAGGAATCCTCCAAAAGGTTAGCAGCTAGTTTCTCAGCAGAAACCATGAAGCTCAGAAAACAATGGGTGACAATTTATATTTAAAGTGGCCCTCAGGGCAGTTACTAAGATCTCATGGATTCAGAGTAATTTGGAATATAGAGTAGAAATGCAAGGTTATTTTTTTATTGGTAGCAAATCTGTCTGGCTCAGATAGTAGTGAACCAATGAGGATAAGACTGAAATCCTTGGGCTGCAGTCACAGCAGGCAAGAACAATGGTGGACACCAGATGCCCCTGTCAGGCCTCTGGCCTTGCAGGCATTTTCTTTTTTTTGAATCCTCACAACCTTATAGGGCTGTGCCTTTTTTTTTTTTTTTTTTTTTTTAGGTCATCTATCACTTTACTCTGAAGCTTGAGTGTACCTCTTATCAAAGGGCTAATTAAAGATCAGGGAACAGCAACAATAAAAAGACAACCCACTATTAAAATGGATAAGTGATCTCAATAGGTGTTTCTCCAGGAAAATATACAAAAGACCAATAAGGACATGAAAGTTGTTCAACATAATTGGTCATTAAAGAAATGCAATGAGATGCTACTTCACAACTACTAGGATGGCTATAATAAGAAATGTTAGCAAGTATGGGAAGAAGAAATTAGAAACTTCCATATATTACTAGTAGAGATGTAAAATGATGCAATGACTTTGAAATTTATTTTTACAATTTCTCAAATGTTAAACTGAGTTAACATATGACCTAACAATTCCACTTCTGGATGTCTACCAAAAGAATTGAAGCATATCCACACAAAGACTTATATATTGAAGTTCCATAGTAGCATAATATATAGTAGCTAAAAATTAGGAAACAACCCAAATGTCCATAAACAATGAATGAATAAATAAAAAGTAGTTATATAATGAAATATTATTCTATAAAAAGGAATGAATCATGAGGATTGCTAATTCGAGGCCAGCCTCATCAACTTAATAAGGCCCTAAGCAATTTAGCAAGACCCTGTCTCAAAATTTAAAATTAAAAAAAAAAAAAAAAAAAGACTGGGGATGTGGTTCAGTGGTTAAGCTGCCCTAGGTTCAATCCCCTGTATTGGGAAGAAAAAAAAAATGGAGGTGGGGGGAGATGAAATACTGATGTATGCTACAACATGTATGAACCTTGAAAATATGTTAAGTAAAATAAGTCAGACACAAAAGGCTTCATATTACAAGACTATTTATATGAAATGTTCAGAATTGGCAAATCTATACATTAAAAAGTACATTGATGGTTGCCAGAGGCAGGAAAGAGGAAAAATAAGTGGCTACAAATGAGTATAGGGTTTTTGTTTTTTTGTTTTTGTTTTTTTTTTTTTTTGAGTAATGAAAAGATTCTAAATTTTAATTTTGGTGGTACTCAGTTCTGAATATACTAAAGATTATCAGACTATATAAAATGAGAATTGTATGTGAATTATATATCAAGCTGTTAATTAAAAAAAAGAAACAGGTAATAGGGTGAAAATCTCAGTTCCAGAGCCTTTGAGGAACAAGAAACAATTCAATGTAGGTACAATAGTATTAGTGGGAATGGGAGCGCCAGAAAAAGAGAATAGGTGTCAGGAGAGGGAAAAGGTAAGGTTGGTCATAGTGGACCTTCTAAATCTTGTCACACTTCAGTGATTTTTTTTTTCCAAAGATTGGAAAGAAACATTTCAAGCAAAACCTTCCCAGATTTTAAAACAGCACTGATTTAGTTAAGTAGTTTTAAAATCCCCCTTTCCCAACGTGTTTACCAGTCTACTCTATTTATCCATCTACCTTCAACATCTAACTTTTCACAGTATTTCAAAGTCAATAATTTAGTAACCCTCAATGAAATGCCTGCGAGTGTATACTTGCAGAAACTCAACAAAAACCAGTGGATGCTGGTTCTGCATGAAGTACTGGAAGGTACACAAAAATACATACAGTCCCTAAGATACTTTTGTTCTCCGTGCACAAGCCATCATTAGCTGAGGCCCCATCCCAGCTTACTGGTTCTTCAGCCCTAAAAAGAACTGAGAAGAAAAAGTACATGCAGTGGAGATGTTTAGAAAATCAAAGGATAAAGGGAAAAATGGGAAATCTTTGGTCTCAAGCTTCAACAAAGTAAACAAACCTCAAGCCTATCCTAGTTTTTTTTCCCAAGTCCAAAACTCGGACCAGCCTTTGCTCAGCAGGGCACACCCCCTTCACAAGCTTTGCTTTTAAAAAGTAACCTCAGCGGTTACTAACATCCAGAAGCTGAAATGGAGCTGCTGGGAATCACTACTCTTGTTCTTGGAATTTCTGTCACTTGTCTGATTTTTCTTTTTGTGTTGATGAAAAGTCCCACAGGGAAGGCTTCCCCCACCCTATCTGACTCCATTTCCCTGCATTTCCCTCCAAGGTAAGAGGCTTTGACTCTGATAAGGGGGTCATTTCCAGGCTCTGCATCTCAGACCACTGGGGAGTTAGCTGTCTTACTGCAGTCTTTCTTAGTTCTATCCACCACATAGGTACATTGCAGTATTTATTTCTGTATTACCAAAAGTACAGATAATCCTCTCCCTTTCAGGACTGACTCACTTTAGAGCAAGTAGTGAGAGGTGTTGGCTTGACTTGAGATATTGATTGAATTGTAGTGAATGAGAAAATTCTGAGATCAGAACATATTTTAATTTAAAGGCTTTCAATCCCCTCAGCATATACACCAAAAATCAAGTGCATCAAATATAAAAATGTAATAAATGTACTTTTATATTATTTTTACTAATTATCTGTGGGAGGCTTTGTGATCCATCTTTTAAATAATGATATCCCCACACTGCCCTCCCCAACACCCTGTTCTAATGCAGCCCAGTTCTGCTACCCTGACTATAGTTACACCTTTGGAAATATTCTTTAGGGAGAAGATTACCTCCATGAGTTTATTGTATAAAAAAATATTCTTCAGGATAAAGAAATACTATAGTAGAGTTCTCCAATTGTCTTAGCAATAGATAATTTACTAGTAAACATTTAATGATTCCATGCTTTATAACAAGTTGTATTTTAGACTATAGTCTGTTCCTTTCAACTATTTGTCTATTATTTGTTAATACCACACTCTTTTCTTTCGTGTTATTGTTATTTTCTTTTTACTGCAGACGTCTGAAGTAGGAAAGGCTACTCATCTTGTGGCAGTCCCAACAATGATCCATCCACAAGAGCTGATCTTGGTCTCCAGCCCTGTCTAAGGAGAAAAGGATGCCCTCTTCCATCCCCGTAGTAAAAAGGACTCATACTTTCTTGTACCTTCATAGTAAGTTGAAGTTGGATAGTATCAGTCCTCCAACTTTTTCTTTTTATTCACACTTTCATTGATACATTATATTTTATACATAATGATGAGATTTGCTGTTTCATACACAAAATATAATGATATAATTTGACCAATATCATTCCCCAGCTCTTTCCTAACCCCCAAATTTGTTTTTTGCCTTCAACATTGTATTAACTATTTTACCTGTCCATATAAACTTTAAGATTGGCTTGTCAATATTTACAAAATAACTCGCTGGGATTTTTATTAGGATTGCATTGAATCTATAAATAAGTTGAGAGGAACTGACACCTTGACAATATTGAGTCTTCCTATTTCATGGACATGGAGTATTTCTCAGTTTATTTATTTTTCTTTTATTTATTTCATCGGAGTTTTGTAGTTTTCCTTTATACCTAAATATAACATTTTTGGTGATGCTAATATAAATGGTATTGCTTTTAATTTCAAGTACTTGTTCATTGTTGGTACAGTTTGAGTTTTGTATATAAACCTTGTATCCTGTAAACTATGTAATCACTTATTTCTAGAGGTATTTTGCTGATTTTTTTCAGATTATATATATATATATAATTTATTATTTATATATATTATATAAATATATATATAAATATATAAATATATATATATATATATATATATATATATATGCATCTCTGAAAGCAAAATGATTTTATTTCTTCCTTTCCAATACATACTTTTTTTCCTTTTCTTGTCTTATTACATTGGCTAGGACCTTCAGTATGACATTGAAAATGAGTGGTAAAAGGGCTCATCCTTGTCTTTTCCTGATCTTAGTGGGAAAACTTCTATTTTCTCACCATTGAGTAAAGTTTAACTGGGGTATGATGTTGCATACCTGTAATTCGAGTAATCAGGAGGCTAAGGCAGGAGGATCACAAGTTTGAGGTCAGCTGCAGCAATTCAGTGAGACCTTGTCTCAAAATAAAATAAAAAGGGCTTTAGATGTAGCTTAATGGTAAAGTGTCCTGGGTCCAGTCCACAGAGGAAAAAAGTAAAAGTGATATTAGTTCTAGGTTTTTTTGTAGATGATATTGAGGAAGTTCTCTATTTCTATTTTGTTTTTATTATGAGTGAATATTGGTTTTTCGAAAGTGTTTTTTCTGCATCTATTGTTATAATATTGTGATTTTTCTTTTTCTTGTTGATATGAAGTTTCTTTCATTCAATGTTTTATTCTCTCTCTGCCTTTCAATTTTAGAGGTCTCCATTGATATCCCCTGGCTCAGAGATTCTTTCCTCATGTCCAGTAGCTAATGAGCCTGTCAAAGGCATTGTTTATTTCTGTGACAGTGTTTTTGATCTCTAGGATTTTTTTTACTTTCTTATAATTTTTCTCTATTTTCATTACCTGTTTTTTCTTCCATTTTGTCTACTTTTTTCCATTAGAGCCCTTAGAATAGTAATCATAGTTAATAATTCCATCAATCCTGCTATATCTGAATGTGTTTGTGGTGCTTTATTTGTCTCTTCAAACTATGTTTTTTAACCATTGGTGTGCCTTGTAATTTTTTAGAAGCCAGATATACTGGGTAAAAAGAAATCTGGTAAATAGGTATTAGTGGTATTGTAACAGGGGTTCACTTCATTCTTTGAATATAAACCTTGCTCTGCCACTGAGACTTATTTTATTTTTTGGTACCAGGGATTAAACCCAGGGTCACTTAACCACTGTGTGATTAATCATGAATGTGTGGTTATCCCAAGCCCTTTTGTTTTGTTTTGTTTATTTAGAGACAGAGTCTCACTGAATTACTTAAGGCCTTGCTAAGTGACTGAGGCTGGCTTTGAACTTGCGATCCTCCTGTCTCAGCCTCCTAAGCTGCTGGGAATACGGGTGTGCCCCACTGTGCCCAGTGTTTTAAAACTGATGTCTTTTCCTTCCTCTTCTCCCTCTCCCTCTCCTTAACCACAGGGGAAGCAAAGTTAACCTTCCTCCACTTTAACCTTCCTCCAGGTTATCTGTCCTTTGACTCAGGGACCACAGGAGTAAAGGAATCCAGACTTCCAAGCTGGCACTAGCAGTTCAGAGAAATGGCTCTTTCTCAAGGCCACAAATGAATTGTGACTCCTGGCAGGGCACAGCTGGAAAGTAGCCTTTGTATTCCTTCTTTAAAAGCCCACTGTTCCCCTTGAAAGAATCACAGCCTCTGAGACAGGAGTCCCCTGTGTTTTCCTTTGCTAGCAAAGCAATAAAACTTCCTTTTTCCCTTTTCTCAAAATTAGGTGTGAGGATGGAGGTCAGGAAGTTTTCTGCAGTTCTGTGATTTTACTTGTCTTTTTAACAGTCTTGTGCCCCTGGGCTGTGAATTTCACAAGTGTTTCTCACTCACCCCCCTATTTCCTCAGATAGGACAGACTAGGTGGGGGTGAAATTGGTTATTTCCCCTCCACTATTGGAAGCCTGCTGAAGTTGAATATTTCCCTTCCCCTTCTTGGTTAAGCTCTAATAAAACCCAGTAGATTAGACTCTGCTCAAGGTCTGAATGCAGACCTTGTAAAGAAGAACAGAATGCTTTTGGGTATGCAACCAGAAATACAAGTCCTCCCCTACCAGAAACTCAAGGGGATTTCTTTTTCTCCAGTATTCACTTTAGGAACCCAGGAGAGCTCACGGTGGTAAAACTCACAAAATCATGCCCCTCTAAGACCAGGCCCCTCCTAGAATTTTCACTTTTGAACTTATCCACACTGAGCCTCTGGCAATTTTGTAATTATAATTTAGGTTTTCCTATCCTGCTGCTGGTTTCCCATAGAAGGTTTCTACTTTAGTTAGTTTTGTTGTTTGCAATACCAGAAAGTGAGTCCAGAGCCCTGCACATATTAGGTAAGGGCTCTACCACTGAGCCACACCCAAGCCCTTTTTATTTTTTGAGACAGGATCTCCCTAAGTTGCTCAGGCTGGTCTTGGACTTAAGATGAGTAGTTGGGATTATAAGCATGGGTCATCACACATGGCTGATCTACTCCAGTTAGTTGTGATTTTCTGCATTTGCCTGTTTATATCTCTATTTTTCTTGGGAAGCAGCAATCTGCCTTGGGGCCTCACTTCTCTGAAAAATTTAAGAAAGTTGTTGTTTTTTCAGTTTTTTCAGTGTTTGGTTTTTTTTTTTTAAGCCTGTTAGTAGGACAGAGAGACAACTTCCAAGCTCTGTACATGCCAGACCAAAAATTAGAAGTCCAGATGTTTATATTTTAAATAGGATATCCAGGAAAAGGTTCACTAGAATGGTAATATTTGAGCAAAGACTTCAAGAAGATAAAAGAGAAAGCCATAAAGTTAACTGAGAAAAATTCATTCCATTCAGAGAAAGCAAGATCCAAAACTGTGACAGAAGGTACCTGGTATACTCAAGGAATAGCAAGGAGGTCAATGCAGATAAACTAAGGGGAGAAAAGGGGCAGAAATAGGGCATAATGTTAAGTACAGAGAGAGGATCTGATTTCATAGTACTTTGTGGGATCCTGTAAGAACTACAGTTTCTTCTCTGAGATAGGAAATATCAATGGAGAGTTTTTAATTGGAGTGGCATGATAATTTGTGTTTTAGCAACATGGCTCTGGAGAATTAGTTAAAGGTAGTGATACCACCCATTACTGGTGATGAGTTCTGCTCCCTCACGTGTTGAAGAATAACATTAGAGAAGCACACCAAGGCAAGCATATACAGCATAGTTTATTTAAAAAGGGCTTCCTTTGTTCTCCTGCTCTCTTCCCCTTATCTCTCTCCTTTCTGCAAACATGACTAGGCCCAGGAGATGCTCTGTGGTATGGCCAAAAGATGAGAAGCAGATGGGCTGGAGGGGCCAAGGTAGAGTGATCTGGGCAGGATCAACTGTAGGGAGGGATAATCCCTGGGACAGGTTAACTTAGCAACAGGTTGGAGCAGGGGCTGGTTATCTTGATATGGGTGGAGGAAGGGCTCTGAAGGAATAACATTTCAATCCCTCCTTTCTCTGGATGGACCCTTGCCTATCTGCTTAATTCTTGGTAGCTAAGAAAGGTGCTCAGGGTTAGGGTTAGTGTACCATGCAAATGGCATTTCTCTGATTTACAAGATCTAGGGCCTTAGTAGACATTCATTTTTTTTTCCCTAGTGAACAGCTGCTGGTGATTCAAATGCTGAGGGTTAGACCCCTGTGGAATCTTCACTTACAAGTCTGGTTCCAGGTGGAGATGACCCAAAGGCAGAGCTCAACTGGGAGCATATACTGGAGCCATCTCTCTCTACAGGGCTACTTCTGCCTGGCTTTCTCCAGAATTACAGGACTGGAGCTACAAGAAGCCCTTATCACATGGGCAGACCTGGAATACAGAAGGGAGCCTCCAGGAAACATGGCAAGAATGAGGCAGAAACTGCAAAGCATTTTCAGACCAAACCTGAGAATGTGTAGCCATATTCTACTTATTGTCAGCAATTTTCAATAGATAACTTAAAAGGGATGTTTCCCCCCCTTAGTTATACTTCCCCTTTCAATGGGGAAGTGGTGGTCACACTGCAGAAGAGCAAAAGGATGGGACATATTATTGTCAGGTAGGGAAGGAGCCATCTGAGCTGTCTGGGAAAGACCAGCCAGCTCAGCAGAAGATGAGGAGTCTCAGAAGCCAAGGAGCAAAAGTGCTATGAGGAGAGGTGTCAGCTAGGTCATGGATCATACTAAGGTAGATTGAAGCAAGCAGATGGTGTTGGAATCCTCAGCAAGAGCAGTTCCATGGAAGAAAAAATGGGGAAGCTAGACTGAAGAGGGACAAAGAATAAATGGGAGTAGGGGAATATAGCTCAGTGATAGGGTTCTTGTCTAGCATGTACAAGGTCCTGGGTTCAGTCCCCAGCATCACAAAAGAAAAGGGGGGGGGCAAATAATAAATGGGATGACTTCTGTTCCTACACAAAATGAAGGGCTAAATGACCTTTTCATGAAAACTGATACTGTT